TATGATATTCGACCCTCTATATTCGACTATTTCTTCACAATTTTCCAATAAAGAGTTTGTCATGACACGCTCAAGTCAATATAACCAGACTGTATTTTATTTATATCAGTTATCACAGCCACAGGCAATTTTATGCTGTCAAATACCGTCGGTTGCAACTAAGGTTGAACAGTTGCAGATAAAACATTCTCTATTCTCATTAAAAGGCCTGTAAAAGTTTCCAGTAAGTCTCTAGCCCAACACGTTCAGACCACACAAAGTTTTGTTACTTATTATTGTCCACTGTACACATGGGAAACAACAATTAAGTGTTGTTGTTCTTGACAAACATTGAAGATTCTAATCACGCGAATGTTTTTATGAGCAACTGTTCATCGTTAGTTCCAAGCGACGGTACAAATAAATAAATAAACCGATTCAACAATCCTATAAATAAACCGATTCAACAATAATATTGCCTCGAATTTGCATATTCTATGCCGCATGTTTATATTTTATTTTTATAGTATAAAAATAAAATTGTAATACTATGAAATAAAATACATTTCTATTTATTGACCAGTACTTATTTAATGTCTTCTTCATCCAGTGGTCAGAGTAAATTTCTACTTCTAGCAAGTAAATATTTGACAAGCAGTCTGGAATAAGCACAGGAATAAGCACAATGAGCCATTTTATAGTAGCAATATGAAAAGTTTTTTTCTTTTTCCATGACTTTTAATGCATCAGCCAAATCCAAGTGTGCCCATCCCCCTCGCCCAGCCATTTTCCTCGCCCAGCCATGAACCTTAGCCCCGGCGGGGCATTTGAAATTAATAATTTCGATTCTTGCACTTCACTTGGTGGAATTAATATTAGAATGTTAGGGTTTGTAATCCAAGTGAGAATATATACATGTATATATTTTGTAATCCAAGTGAGAATATTTTGTAATCCAAGTGAGAATATACAAATGCATAGTACATGTATATATTTTGTGTATATATTTTGTAATCCAAATGAGAATAGTTTGTAATCCAAGTGAGAATATACAAATGTATATATTCTCACTTGGATTACAAACCGTAACATTCTAATATTAATTCCACCAAGTGAAGTGCAAGAATCCAAATTATTGAAGTCCACCTTATCACAACCCGCACACCCGATAACCTAAATATACATGAACTTACGGTTCAAGCTCAACAGCTGGCCTCGGTAGCTCAGTTGGTTAGATTGCTGCACCGGAATCGCAGGGCCGTAGGTTCAATTCCTACCAGAGGACCTTGTGCTGCATTTTTTGCAGTCGTTCCTGGTTAGGTCTTAAAAATGTATATATTCTCACTTGGATTACAAACCCTAACATTCTAATATTAATTCCACCAAGTGAAGTGCAAGAATCCAAATTATTGAAGTCCACCTTATCACAACCCGCACACCCGATTACCTAAATATACATGAACTTACAGTTAAAGCTCAACAGCTGGCCTCTGTAGCTCAGTTGGTTAGAGCGCTGACCCGGAATCGCAGGGCCGTAGGTTCAATTCCTACGAGAGGACCTTGTGCTGCATTTTTCGCAGTCGTTCCTTGTTAGGTCTTAAAATGTATATATTCTCATTTGGATTACAAACCCTAACATTCTAATATTAATTCCACCAAGTGAAGTGCAAGAATCCAAATTATTGAGGTCCACCTTATCACAACCCACACACCCGATTACCTAAATGTACATGAACTTACGGTTAAAGCTCAACAGCTGGCCGAGCTGTAGCTCAGTTGGTTAGAGCGCTGCACCGGAATCGCAGGGCAGTAGGTTCAATTCCTACCAGAGGACCTTGTGCTGCATTTTTCGCAGTCGTTCCTGGTTAGGTCTTAAAATGTATATATTCTCACTTGGATTACAAACCCTAACATTCTAACATTTGAAATTAAGGATTTGGAGGTTTTGCGATCACTGATAACTTGATAATAATATAAAACAAAACACTTCTATCTGCAACTTTTACTATCACTGATAACTTGATAATAATTTAAACCAGTCAAGTTGTAGTTTAAATAGAGAATAATACATGGGTGCATGAAATACCAGATTTATTTCGAGTGTTGAACATGAGTGCGGAGCGAACAAGTGAGCGCATCGAACGAGTGAGATGTCATGTTCAACACGAAAAATAAATCTGGTATTTCCAACCACCCATGTATTTTTCTGTTTATTATATAAAGGACAGTCTTTGAAAAGCGATAATTTTTACAGAAAAGCGATAATTGAAAAGGCGATAATTTTCACATGTGAGATTATCATGAATAATTTCACATGTGAGATTATCATTTTTATCAGTGCTCAAAATCTCTTTAAAATACTCATTAATAATTCATAAACCTTGTGGCAAACATGTCAGCCATAATATGTCACGTGGAGTGACTTTATATCTGATAAAACACATGTGGCATTATATAATTGTTCATCTTAATTAGCATGATTATACTATGGTTCATCCTAATTAGTAGTCTTTTGTAGTCGTATTTTAAGCTATTCAAAATACTCGTTGTCGTGTTTTATCAGATATATAACGCTCGGCTGCACTCCTACTCGTGTTTTAAATAGTACATAAAACACTATACTTTATATGATAAAAATTCATAAATTTGAACCACGCTAGACCATGACAACAGCAAAATGCTCTATAGTATGATGCACAAAATTTTGGGAGATGAAATACACGAACAATAAATCAGAGAGTGTTTGCGTGAATGCGTGAAACTCACTGGTGGGGGGGGGGGGTGCAACACCCCTGATAATTGCTCATGAGGAATTTCAGGTAGATTTCCAGTGCACTTTTAGGTAAATTTAAGTAGATTTGCAGAAGATTTTCAGGGGAATTCAGGTAATTCTCAGGACATGAGAAAGTGAATTTGGAAAACAACTGTATTTTCGGAAAAATTATTATATGTCCTGAAAATTTTTTGTACATCTGGAAACATTTTGGTAACCTCCCCCCCTCTATCTAACCTCACACACACCCTGAGACGAAGTGCTAGCAACGGCACTGAGTATACATCTTTTGAAAACAGGCGAGGGGTTATTGCATGCATGTATTTCTAGTATGTAAGTAAACACAGCAACGCTTGTCAATCAGTCGCAAGTTACATCGAATTTCAGTCCGAATTTTACTTGAACGAATTTCGAAGTGAATTTCTGCAAATTATCCGACAAAACCTGCTGTAATGATTTATAGCCGAAACTTTGTTTACATAATCCATATATTTCTTCGACAAACACACTTACAAATATACAAACTTACAAACATATCGAAAAAGCGTTCGTTCTCAAAAACAATGTGCTCAGTCACGTGACTGGCCCGAGTTTAGGTTCAAATCGTCGCCTGCGTGCAGGCCTCGTAGTAATGTTCTTTACACTCCCCGGGCTGGTTACTTAATGTAAACAAAACTAATTAACGAATACAACAATTTTAATTAAAGTAACTTATTCTTCAAGAGTTCTCCTCTTAAAAGTTCATTGGCAATCGCTGCTGCACGTCGAGGTCGATCGCGGTTTTCTCTTGAATCTTCCACAACCGTCAATTTCTCATTTTGGTTCCGTTTGATCTCGTCTATGTTGGAATCTTGACTAACTTCGAGAGGAACTAGATGTTGAATAGACCTTCTTAACACGTCCGATTTTCCGTTCTCGTTACTAACCCTGACCTTGGCCGCACGAACCATTCCATCATCGCCTGATATGAGTTCCTCAATCTTTCCGAGTCGCCAGAAATTCCTGTTCGTTTTTTCATTCTTAACTATAACGATATCGCCTTTCTTAAGCTGTTCCGTTTTTTGACGTTTCCCGTTCACTTGTGCATTCTCGCGTAAATTCCTTAAATATTCCTTTCGCCAACGCGTTGTAAACTGACACAAGATCTGCTTGTGA